TCCTCAGTCTATAGATTTAAGAGTTGTCACAGTAGAGAAGGCCAGTGGAAGCTTCTGAACCTATGTAACCCCTCAGTCAATATACTAAATATAATAAAATAATATTATATTCCATGGGAAGGGAGATGAACGAGATTAGTGCTATCATTAAGGAGCTTAGGGATGCCTGGGAGGGGGTCCCTAAAGTATCTCTATTACATTCAACAGTCCAGCCTCTGCAAGAATCAAATGCATCCTCAAGAGTGACCACAGGATATCACAAACCCAATCAAGCTGTGATCCTGACTGTGGCTGCCATGCAGGGCGAGGTATCAGGCACATGGTGCAGTGATGGAATCATGGTAAGTGATGGATCCCCTTAATCAGAAAAGGGAATAGGAAATAGTTCACTTTCACATGGATCAGAGAGTCACATACATATGTTACAGATTTGTCCCAGAAACTAGGATAACTCTTTTGCTATGTCATAATATAGCCTGCAGAGATGTGTAGTCCAGAGGGCACAAGGAAACCCCTTCAAAGATTCAGGGAACAGACTTTTTGGTAAAACCTGTAGGCATCTAGTTGCTAGAGTTGTGCTAGGATGTCCCCTCCAAGGAAGTAAAATTGCTACATCTTGCTTTCTTAACCACGAAGATGGAAGTGCCATGGTTTGAAGGTTTCTCTGGGTTTTCTGAAGGTAGCATATTCCATATGAATATTGGAATATTGTTCTGGCCCATATAGTGGTTGACAAAAAAGGAGCCTTCTTTTGAGTGAGGCCAAGCAGGGAAGAGCTCCACAGCAGACCCAGGTCTGGCACAGCAGCCTGCCTTTGTCATCTCAGGTCGCCACAGCAAAATACCGCAGTCTGGGGAGCTTCAACAGCAGAAATTCATTTTCTGCAAGTTCTGCAGGCTAGGAGTCTCAGTTCGTGGACCAGCAGGGTCAGTTCCTGGTGAGGAATCTCTCCCCTGCTTGCAGACAGCCTACCTTCTTACCGTGTCCTCCCAGTGCATGTGTATGTGTGTCTGTGTGGAGACGGAGAGAGAGACCTGTCCAAGCCCCCTCCTCATATATATCCAAGGACAAAGCTTGGAGTTGGGAGACATGAAAAATCAAAATTCCACATTATATGTAGCTGCTTCTACCTCGATAGATTTATAACATGGACTATCATAATTTTTAACTAAAACTAATAATGATAGCTCTCCACTCCCATCATAATTATAGAAAAATGACAGCCATTGACCATCAGTTCTTAGTCCTCATGATGCTTGGAGGACTAAGTCAGCTGAGTCTACAGTGACATCTTTGGTCACAACAAAGTTAGAATGAAGATCTAATGAGCTTATATGGGGTGCCTAATTAAAAAAATTTTTTTATTAAGGTATTATTGATATACACACTTATAAAGGTTTCACATGAAAAAACAATGTGTTTACTACATTTACCCATATTATCAAGTCCCCACCCATCCCCCAATGCAGTCACTGTCCATCAATGTAGCAAGATGCCACAGATCCACTATGTGCCTTCTCTGTGCTGTACTGTTCTCCTCGTGACCCCCACCATATGTACTAAACATAATACCCCTCAATCCCCTTCTTCCTCCCTCCCCACCTGCCCTCCCACACCCCTCCCCTTTGGTAACCTCTAGTACCTTCTTGGAGTCTGTGAGTCTGCTGCTGTTTTGTTCCTTCAGTTTTGTTTTGTTGTTATACTCCACAAATGAGGGAAATCATTTGCCCTTGTCTTTCTCCGCCTGGCTTATTTCACTGAGCATAATACCCTCCAGCTCCATCTGTGTTGATGCAAATGGTAGGATTTCTTTCTTATGGCTGAATAGTATTCCATTGTGTACATGTACCACATCTTCTTTATCCATTCATCTACTGAAGGACACTTAGGTTTGG